TTTTTTTTTAAAAGCATGTTGGGTTCCTCTCCTGGACAAGAATGGATACCTGGCTCCATTTTCCTGGGCTCCCAGGGAAATGGGGGCTTAGGGAGGATGTCTTAACTCTACAGGAGAGCATCAGGCAGAACTTCCTGGAGGAAGTGATGCAAGAGCTGGGCCTGGTGCACAGAGCAGCAATTTCACGCAGACTAGCGGACTGGACCCACTTGAGGTGGGGAATCTCCTCTCCCATTTTCTCCCACACGAGCGAGTTTAGCTTCTGATTCTGAAAGTTTATGGTTTGAGGAACCCGAGTGATCAGGGCCTGAGGGAGGAGGAGACAAGGGAGATGCAGGAGGCCTGCCTTGGGGCAGGGGTGTGAGAGGGCACCTGGGATGCCCAGCCTGCCCCTGGTGGAAGCTGTGGGCCAGTGAGCCAGAAAGCTGGTGGCCGAACAGCGCTATCAAGGTCTGGCGCTGGCCCCAGGGGTGGGCACAGAAGGGAAAATTCTATTTTCAAATCTCACTGTGGTTTTTCAGTTGCAAAAGGAAATGAGAAAGTGTGTGTGTACATATTTGTACATGACTACCTGCCCGGCCGTGTCATGAGCGCGTGTGCAGAGAGGTGCATGCATGAGCAAGTGGGGGCCAGAGGCAGCAGGCAGGGCGCAGAGGTGCCCCGGGCCCAAGATCAGTCGCGACCTATGCTCGGCATGCCCAGGACGGTTGGTGGGCCACCCTGCACCCCAGTCTGCGGGGTGCGGCCGGCTGGCCCGCCCAGTGCCCGGGAGAGGCAGAGCACCCTCCTCCTGGGGCCAGTGAGCCAGTCGTGTCACCGCCTGCCAGCCTCCTGCTGCACAGCTTCTAGATCTCAGAGGAGGCCCTCTGGCCGCCCGAAGGACACGGCCGCAGCCTCTCCCACAAGGAAGCCCCTCCTTCCCGTGAGCGCGGCCCTCTCAGGGCACGCCTGCAGGTGGCACCTCCACCCTGGCAGGCAGTGCTCACCCCAGAGCTGTGCCGCTCTGGCCCACCGTTCTCTCTGGAATGTCCCTTTCACCTTCTTCTCTTAAAAACCTTTCCCCTCAGGGATCATGCTTAGTGAAGTAAGCCAGAAAGAAAAAGAGAAAGAAAAATACCGGATGGTTTCACTCATAGCAGGACCATAAAGGACCGGGGTGGGGGTGGGGGACAATAATAATAATGAATAACTATATACCAGAGACATTTTACGGGGGTGGATCAAAAGTGGGTGTGGGGAGTGAATGGGACTATGGTGATGGCACACGGGCGAACCGGTCCACAGGGATTACAACTGAGATGGAAAAAGGCACAAAATGATGTAAAAATAAACTATTCTCTCTCTCTATATAGAAAAGAAGCCCTTCCGCTCTCTCCCACCAGGCCTCCCCTGACGCCCCAGGGCACAGGCCCACAGCCTTCCCTGGGCCGGAGTACCCAGTCGGGGCTCACACATTCATCAGCCTGGGGTCACAGGTACTCACGGGCTCCTCTGCTCATAGATCTTTTCTGATTTCTTCACACCTACAAGAAAAGGCTCAGATGGTCACGTGTCTGAGGTGGGGGTGGAAGCTAAGGTCCAGGGCACCCTCACGTGTCATCTAGTCTGTTCTGCACAGGCCTCACGCAGGCGCGGGGCTGAGCCGCAGCTACTGCGGGTCCCTGACATTGTGTCGGGGTGTTTATCCAGGAGGGTGGAGTGCAGCCCAGGCAGGCACCCCGCCTCCTCCCTTGTCCAGAGCAACCCCTTGGTCCCAGATACAAGTCTCTGACCCAGACAAACCCAAGTCCCCCCAGTCTTCTGGGACAATCCTTGGGGTTCCTGTCTGCCTCAAGAAGCTGATGTGACCGCCCTTCTGACCAGAGCCGGCCTGGGCCCGGAGGGTCGCTGGGCTAATCTGTCCTCATGGAGCCTGTGACCCCACCCTCACCCACCAGACTTTACCTGGGCGGGAGCAGCGCACACACAGGCTGGCCACCGCCCCCAGCAGTAGCAGCAGCAGCAGCAGAACGGCCCCTGGCCACAGCAGGTGGGCGTCCACATTCATGTCCGCTCCTGGCCACTCTTCCTGCAAGGCTGTGATGTGGGGGCCCTGTGGGGTTGGGGCAGAGGGGACTGCAGGGTGGCCTCTTGAGGAACCGTTCAGCCCCCACCCCCACTCAGCCCTCTTCCTCATCTGATCTCAAGCCCAACTCCCTGGCCCCAGGCCATCATCACTTAGTGAGTGCTGGAAGGTTCTAAAGACCCACCACACAGTGCCAAACACACCTGCACACTCCTATACACCTTTAGGTCCCACAGGTTTGAGGCAGTGGTTCGATTCAGATTACAGATTGAGAAACCGAGGCCCAAGTCCCCTTAGCTGCTAAGTGGGAACTCAGGGCTCAAATTCTGGCCTCCAGACCCCAACTCACCTCCTGTAAACCAGGCTTGCTCCCCAAGATAGGAGTCTGTGACGCCTTCCAAACAGAACCCCAAGTGGTCCCCCATCCCTCTCTAGGGTTCTTCTCTGCCCCATCCATGGTTTCCCGGGGAAGCTGGCAGTGAGATTTCCATTCCTAAACACTTGCACACCCAGACCCTGACCTGGGAGCAGGGAGAGGAGAAGAGTGCTCCAGGCAGAGGGACTCAGAGTTGGGGGGATGCGCCAGGGCGCAGAGGCCGAGTCTGCCAGCTGGCCTGGCGGGGCCCGTCCCAGCCTCCGAGCCACACCATGAGGTGATTGTCTTGGCAAAGTGCAGACAGCTCGTACCGGGTCTGGCAATACACGACCTGCCCACTCCAGGAGTGTCCGAGGAGTCACCGCAACCAGGTCTCAGGCCCCCTGTGAAGGCCGGGGAGCAGGGTCCTCACGGGGGCTGCCCCGGGTGGACATGTGGAGACCCCACTTCTGAGGCCTGCCGCCTCGGTCCCTGGGAGGAGGGTTTCCTTTCATACCACAGCTGGGCTTTCTTATTATTTTGTTTTATTTTGTTTTCATTAAGGAAAAGAGAAAAGAGACAGGTCTACATGGGCCCTGGCAGGCGGGAGAGCTGCCAGACCAGGGCTTTGGCACATCTGGAACCTTTCTGAGGTTCTCAATCCCTGTGGTAAAGATGACAGGAAACTTCCATGTGGTGTTGAGCCCCAAGAAGGGAACATCACGGGGAGGCCGCTCTCCTTCCCCAAAATGTGGTGAGTCACTGGGGACGTGGGAGTTTCCAAACCTTGTGACCGGAAGTTGCCACAGGAAGAGAAAGGAGGATTCCCCTCACACACACCCTGTCACCTCCCTTCTTCTCAGAGGCGGCGCTGCTGCTTCCCTCTGCTGACCCTCCTCATCTCTCCTTAGGTTAGGCCTTTCTCCCCACAGGAGACTCACCGCAGACCCTGGCATGGGCCACACGCATGCTGGCCAGATGCAGGTCCAGCCGCACTGGGCCGCTGAAGGCCCTGGCCTGTGCCCTGCTGACCTGCTGGGCTGTCTGCCCGAGAGTGCCTGACTACAGAGATCCCTTGCTTCCCCGACCTGCTGCCTTGGGAACACGGCGAGGCGGCCCCAGCCCTGGTCCATCTCTACCCAGCTGGCACCGGGTTGGGGGAGCCTGAGAACCAAATCAGCGTCTCTGGCCTGCAGTGGTCCCTCTCTTAGCCGGGGAAGGACGATTATGACACATCGTGTGTACTGGTCACATGAAGCCCAGGGTCGGGTGACGCACATCAGGAGCCAGCATGGTGGCACGGTTGGGCGGCAGGGACCTGGCTTGCCCTGATCCCGTGGAGGGGGAGGGGCGGCCGCAGCCTAGGGAGCCAGAGCAGGAGCTGGCTGCAGGGAGCAGCGTGGGGCAACTGGCAGACACGGGCCCTGCCTGGTCCGGGGAATCACAGGCCTGTGCCTCCCCCTCCCCCCAGCGCTGCAGTGTCTCTCTGGGCCCCCAGGACCGCACCTTGGAGACTGGGAGCTGAAGGAGACACGTGGCCATGGCCCAGCTCCTGGGTACCAGACACACTATGTATGTCACCGGGAGATGCCATCTCTCTCCCAAGGGAAGCTCAGAGGAGCGAGGACTGGCCCCAGGCCACCCAGCTCATCAGCCTCAGAGCCAGGATCCCAACCCTGGCAGGGGCTCTGCTGGCCTTGCTCCTTATGTTCCGTATTTCAGAATCAGGAGACATTTTTTAAAATGAGAGCTTCATCGGCAAAGACTCTTGTGCCTGCTCTTGTGCTGCAGGCAGGGTGGATGAGGGTCGGGGGAGAGGGAGCCAGGCCCCAGAGAGGCCCCAGGGGGCCAGGCAGGGCTGGGTGGGGTGCAGAGGGCCGCCACAGTGCTGGCTCTGCAGGCCAAAATAGCACAAAGGGAAGTGGGCAGTTTTCATATGAACAAGGTTGCACAAGAGGCTGTGGGGAAGCCCTGGGCCAGGCCCCGAGCACCATCTCTGAGCGTCTCCAGTCCCACCGGCCCTGGGAGGCCATCTTACCTACTCTCCCAGCCCTTCCCAGCTGCAGACAGAGAAATTGAGGCCCCCCAGGGCTGCAGGGCAGGCTGGGAGTGGGGGTGGAGCAAGAGGGCCCAGCTGGGAGCCCTGGGAAAATTAAATCCACTGGGCTTTGGGGCCTGTTCTGTTTTCTAAATAACCTCAAGCTTCCAATGAGGCAGGCATCAGAGAGGCCTCTAACGGAGAGTCCTATCGCTCAGGCGGCCGGTGCAGAGACCCAGGAGGCCCTTGTCCGGCTTCAGCGCAGGGGGTGGCAAAGGCCAGGGCTACTTGTAGACAGAGCAGGGTGCCAGGCAATCCCCAGGGTCTGCGGGCCTTCAGACATGATGAGGGCTGGGCAGGGACAGCAGAGACAGCTGCCCCTCTGGCCTGGGGCTGGACGCGGGCACACTGCCTGCAGTCTCCCCATCATCCCACAGCCTTGTGGTGGACGCGTTACAGTCCACTGTACGGATGACGAAATGGAGTCACAGGCCTGGGGTAGAGAGCTGCTCTCGTGGGTCCTCAGCTACCCTCCAGTCTGGGCAGTGACCAGACCACAGGGTGGTCGGGGCTTTCCCAGGGTTGTGCAGGCTGGGCTGGGGAAGCCGAGGGCAGGGAAGTGGCTGCAGCCCAGAAACAGGCTGCCACTCAGAGCCGCAGGCCAGGTAGCTAGAGTTTCTAAGACAGCACTGGGGCCGAGGGAGGGTGCAGGCCACCCTGACATCTCGCACTCACCCAGTGGGCCACCAGTGCTCCTTCAGGGCCAAGAGGGTTAGTGCCACCCCTGGTTGTCGGGCCAGGCTCCAGCACCCGTGGGAAAGGCTTACCTGGGAGTCGGGGGCTCCTCACAGCGGCCACCCCATCCTGAGTGCACCCACACTCCTGCCCGAGCTGAAGCCACAGACACAGACACCGGCGGACAGCAGGCAAGGCGGCGGGCTTCCTGTCAGCCCCGGAGTCATCCCTCACATCCGCTGCTCTGCCGGACAGGCCCTGCTGTTCACAGAGACCAACAGAGGGGGAGGAAGAAGAGAGACTGAGACTGAGGAGAGAGAGGGACGGAGAGGATGAGAGCGCGCACGGACCCTGAGAAATGAGACACACATGCGTGGGCACAGGAACGGAGACACCCCCACCCCCGAATATACCAACAAGTGAAGATAAACCGCCAAGAGGAAGAGAGACACAGAGTGACCGGGAGCAAGATCAAGTGGGCGGCGCGACACCCAGGCCGGGAGAGGGCGGGGGGCAGGAGACACCCGCACCCCGAGAACATGCAAACTCAGGACACACCCACACACACAAGATGCACAGAGGAAACCAGAGAGGAAGGGAAGCAGAGGGAGAGACACACACACAGGCTGGGGTTGTGACGCGTGCACGGCACACACCACACGCCGAGACCCAGACGGCCAGGAGGGCCAGGACACACGGCGAGCCGCGGGCAGTGAGCAGAGGGACAGGCGAGGCCGTGCCACGGGGTGCAGGAGCAAAGGGGAAGCAAGCGAGCCAGAGACGGAGACCAGGAGGGAGGGCCCGGAGGGCAAGAGGGACGCACCACTTGGCACGTGGCTGGGCGGGTCAGAGGTCAGTGGCGGAGACAAACCTGGAAAACACACAGACGGGGGATGGGCAGCCGTGGGCAGCCGAGGAAGCAGGACAGGGCGCCACGCTGAAGGACAGAAGGGACAGACTGCTCCCGGCCCCAGTGCCTCTCATCAGCCGTTTGCCAGACCAGCTGATGGAGGCGCCGAGTCCAGCGGGAGCAGGGTGCGAGCAGGGCAGTTTGCCCCTGACCCTCTGACCAGATCCTGTGCCAACTCCTTCCTGCCACTGGAAGAAGGGGGTGATGAGACCTGCCTCTTCTCCAGTGAGAGCTGGGAGGGAATCACCTGTTGCGCTTGGGATGCTCCATGTCCGTGGCTGTCATCCTGGGGGCCCTGGCCTTACTGCTCAAGGCCATCAAATTATCAGTGGCATCCCTGCCCCCTCCACACAGTAGCCGCCGAGGATTCCTGACACCCACCAGTTTGACATTTCAGAATCTGAGTTGCCCAGTTGTGGGGCTGTTTTGCCGGGGCACATTGACCCTTTTGATTGGGAGTGGCTTCTTTCTGTCCTGGTTCTCGGTGGCTGAGACGGGAAAGCAAGCCAGGGCCAGGGTGGAAGCTCAGACAGGAGCGCCAGCCCCGTGGAAACAGAAAGTGAGGGCCCAGGCTGTACGCTGCTGCCACCCTGTGGGAGAGAAGGGTAGCACATGGGCCTGGAGCTGGTTTCAGGGCACTCGGGAACTTCAGAGCCGGGAGTTTGTCCCCAGTCCTGTATCTGGTGGGGTATCTGGTGGGGTCAGCTGTGCCATCGCCACCGCATCCCTTGTTTCAAGTCGGGTAATGCGAAGATGGCATTTAATTTCCAGTCTCTCTTCCAGCTGGACTTTAGTTTTCTTATACAGGAGACAAGAGTGCCTCAGAGGCTAACGTGGGTTTGAACCAGACCCCAAGCCTCCAAAGTCCACTGTCTCTTCCGATCACAGTGCCATCAGTCCTGAAGCCCTTCTCGCTGGGACCACCTGCCCCGCTGGTGCTTACAGCCAGGACGAGCCTGATCCGGCCCCCTCCACCCAGAACTTCGTGTCTGCCTGGGGGCTCCCACCCTCCATGTGTCCTGTTGGGAGGACATCATTCTATGCTCCCAGATTCCTCCTGGGACTCAGCAATGGCAGGTGCAAAAGTGACCTCCTACCTCGGACAGAGTCTCCAGGTCCTACCACAGTGGGACCTAGGAGCCCTCAGGACCCTCTTGAGCCCACTTTCCATCTACCAAACCCAAAGGCCCACTTTGGAGCCGAGTAGAAGATTCCTGCCCCATTTCCAGGCAATTCTCAAATTCCTCTAAGTTCTGTTCTACTTGTGAAACATTCAGTTGTGAATTAGAAAACAAAATTCTAAGCGGTTCATGTTCAGTTGTATACATTTTAGTGCACTTAGACTTTTTTTTTTTTAACAATTCAATGGTTTTCAACCTATTAAATTAACATTTTTTTTTGTGCATACAGAACTGGGGTACAGGCCATAGACTCAGGGGCAGCGAGAGGCTTCACCAGCGACAGAGTGGGGAGCAGAACAAGCAGATCGATGAAATATACTGCTGAGGGGAGCAGCAGGCTGGTCAGGAGAAGTCTGCTGCGCCATGTGGGTCACCTCTGGGGCAGGCAGGGATCGTACTCATGCTGAAGTGGCTTTAGCTTCCCAGTGCTGTGCTTTAACCTGCTGTGCCACCAGGGAGGGCCCTACATTAATATTTTTATTTTTAAAATTGAGACATATTGATATATAATACTGTGTTAGTTTCAGATATAGAACAACGATTCAATAGATGTGTATATTGAGAAATGGGCACTCCCTGGTGGCACAGCAGGTTAAAACACAGCACTGCAAGCTAGCCGCAGCTGCTTCAGTGGGAGTTTGACCCCCGGTCCTGGAAGGGACCCACATGGCGTGGCAGACCTCTCCTGACCCGGCCACTGCTCCCCTCAGCAGTGTACTTCGTCAATTTGCCTGTTCTGCCCCCCACTCTGTCTCTTATGACTCCTCTCACCACCCCTGCAACTCTGCCCTGTACCCCAGCTCTGTAAGCATAAATAAATCTTTTTAAAAAATAGCACAAGTCTAATAACTTAGCCTCCATCACTTTGCAGTCATAATTATTTTCTTTTATGAGAACTTTTAAGTTCTGTACTTAGGAACATTCAAAGAAGCAACAGTTCTCAGATAGCTTGGTTTAAAGAGCATCAAATACTCAACCACAGCATTATGAACTACACAAGACACTCCTGGATGATTTTGTACTGTATCTTTTGAACCCTATATCCACACTTCCCACCCCATCTGTTCTCTGTATCTATGCCTTTTGACTCTTCTTCTACTTTTAAAAAAGATTTATTTATTTATGCATCTAGAACTGAAGTACAGGCCAGAAGTGCAGGGGCGGTGAGAGGATTCACCAGTGTCAGAGTGGGGAGCAGAACAGGCAGATTGACTAAGTACAGCACTGAGGGGAACAGCAGCCGGGTAAGGAGAGGTCTGCCGTGTCATGTGGGTCAACTTCCTGGCTGAGGATCAAACTTGTGCTGAAGAAGCTGTGGATAGCTTTGTAGTGCTGCACTTCAACCCATTACACTACCTGGGAGGACCCTGAATTTGACTATTTTAGATTCCACAAGGGTATATATCCTCAAAAGTCATCCATGTTGCAAGTGGCAAGATTTAAAAAAAATTTTATTTATACATACAAGAGCTGGGGTGTAGATCATAGGTATGGGGTTGGGATGGGTGGGGTGAGAGGATTCACTAGAAACAGAGTGGGGAACAGAATAGGAAGATTCACTGAAACACTGCAGCAGGCGGGACAGGAGAGGTCTTTTGGGCCACATGGGTCAGCACCCTAGCCAGGGATCGAACCCACACTACAGTGGCGGGTGATAGCTTCATAGCACTATGACTTTAACCCCTGTGCCACCAGAGAGACCTGTGGCAGGACTTTTTAATGACTTCATATTCTATTGTCTTGTTTGTAGTCACATTTTCTTTATCCGTCTATCCAGTAGGTTGCCTCCATGTAACTGTAAATAATACTGTGATGAATGTGGGGGGTGTAGCTAACTTCTTGAGTTAGTATATTTGTTTTCTTCAAATACCCAGAGGTGGAGTTGGGGTGTGAGGTGGTTTTTAAGGAACCCTGTTTTCTGTAGTGACTGCAGGTTTACAACCCACCAGCTATGAAGTCCCTTTGCTCCACACCTCCACTATCTTTTTGAACTATCACCCTTCTGCCAGTAAGATGCCATCTCACTGCATTTGATTTGCATTTCCGATTGGTGATGGAGCACCTTCCCATATCACACTATTTTTTTTAAGATTTATTTATTCATATAGAACTGGGGTATAGGCCAGAGATGCGGAGGGTGAGAGGATTCACCAGAGACAGAGTGGGGAGCAGAACAGGCAGATCAACGAAGTACACTGCTGAAGGGAGAGCGGGCGGGTCAGGAGAGGTCTGCCACGCCATGTGGATCTCCTCCAGGGCAGGCGGGGATCGAACTCATGCGGAAGTGGCTTCAGCTTCTCAGTGCAGTGCTTTAACCCACTGCGCCACCAGGGAGGGCCCACACACTATTTTTTTTAATACTCAAAAAACGTAACAAAATTAGCCACTTAAAAGTGTGCCATCAGTGGCATTAATCACATCCACAATGTTGTAAGACTATTATCACCCTATTTCCAAAACTTTTTCATCACTTGAAACAGAGCTACTTGGCTTTGTAGTTCACATCGGAGCACCAGCTGTGTGTACATTGTGACAGAAGCAAGACACCTAGGTAGTAGTCCCTGGACGACTCCAAGGCTGAGGATTTTCTGGGGTCACATATTTTGTAAAGGCCGATGCAGAATTATGAGTTTAAGAGGCACCTTGAGGCAGGTATACATCATTCTAGAAGCTCCTGGCTCCTAGCATTAACCTGTAGTTATCTGATTGCCACCTGCTACTAAAAAAGATGCTAGCATCATCCCTACACACTTTGGGCACTTTTTTGTGATCATGGGTAATGATACCCAATGGAACACGAGTATTCCATTTTTCTGCACCCTGGCCTCCCCCGAGTAACTATTATTTCGGGAGGGTGTGGATCAGTCATCTGTGCAATTCTTAAGTATTTTACATGTTAAAGTATCACACTGTAAGTATTTGGGGCTTACTCCCCTCTGCTACAGTTGCCGTGACCCTCATCGTTGCTGAATTACCGAATCCCTAGTCTGCAGACAATTTCAGTGTCTGAACACATCCTATGACAGCAGCCATGTCTCCGGGAGGGCAAGCCTCGGGCTTTCGGCTAAGGCAACACTCCATTTTCAAGTTAATTCCCAGAGCAGCTACACAATTTTGCACTGTCAGCTGCAATACCCGAGAGATGTGGCTGGTCTGTTAGGCTGCTTGCTTTTGCTATTTGAATGGGCACAAAACATGACCCTCTATAATTTTCTAATTGCTAATGGGCTGAAACATCATTTGGGTCCTATGGTCTTCTGTGAAATATGTTAATTTTTCACCAAGTTTACTATCAGGTTGCTTTTGTCCCCCTTGTCTATTTGCAGGAACTCAGCATATACCCTTATTTCATTTTGATTATTTTTTAAGATTTAGCGAGCATACTCTTTCTTTCAGTAGTGTAATGCATATGAGGGCCTCCCTGGTGGCCTAGAGATTAAGTCTCAGGGCTATCACCACCAAGACCAAGGTCCATCCCTGGCCAAGGAGCTGACCCATATGGCACAGCAGACCACTCCTGTCTCATCCACTCCTCCCCTCAGTGGTGTTATTTCAGAAGATCCACCTATTCTGCTCCTCATTCTGTCTCTGGTGAACGCTTTTACTATCCACACCTCTTGCCTACACTCCAGTTCTTGCACGCATACATAAAGTATAATGCATGCGAGAAAGAATTCTACCAGTTCCAAGGGATCTTAGTATAAGTCACAGAATCTCTGGGTTGCCTGAAGAGCTGTTTCCATTTCCCTCTCCCTGCCTCTCTTCTAATATTTAAACTTTCAATGATTTCATAAACACTAACCCTTGTCTCCCAGTGGATTAAAAGAACACATACTGGAAATATATTCTCTGCTGTCCTAACTGAACACCAAGGTGATGGCCACTGCAAAATAGTATGCATTTGTGTATTCAATATTTTAAAGGATGACTACAGATGGGGAAGACTAGTGGATTCTAATTGTCTTATCTTAGTTCATTTTCAGAACAAAACATTGCAAAAGGGAACACTAAAAGTCTGCCAACCACACAACACAAACACTTCAACATGTTTCAAGGCTGGGAAACGAGGTGAACAGAGCGCCTCAGCAGAGGCCTGGACAGCCCCACTTGCAGAAAGCTCAGGACTGCCTATCCTCTGAGTAGTCTTCCCTTCAGGGTGCAGAGCCAGCCAGGTGACACACATGACATGCTCCATGGGTTACTATCCTATTCTGGAAGCTCCTTCAGAAAGTCTGGGATTTGACACCCTACGCACTTCCCCTCCGGACTTCCCTGAGAGCACATGGGAGATTTGTTGACCCCACTCACCCATCACCATCAGCTTAATAACTCCATTGCACACTGAGGTTGTCATTCCAAAGGGAACCTTCTAGTGAACCTTAAGTATGAGCAACTTTATAAACTGCCATGTCTCTCTTGTTCTAGACTTACTCTGTACCAACTAATTGCTTCACTGAGCAAAACAGGCCAATTCCTAGGAATTATAGAATTCAAACTTTAGAATTCAGGTGGACACAGGTCACAATCCTGACACCTTCTTTCAAACATATGTCTCCAGGACCTCGCTTTCTGCTGCCTGCTCAATGCAACCTCACTGAACATTTTAGGTCATGATAGGAAACTGAAGCTTCAGAAGACTACTGTGGATACGTTTCTCCTATTAGGACCTGGAAGTACAATCTAACCCCTGACAAAATAGGCCTGCTTGGCATGCCATTCAGTTTTCTCTGACGCCTAAAGAGTAGTAGAGAAACTAGGGCTCACATATCTGTGAAAGCTCATCAACATTCTTCCTTACTCAGTTGCTTACTGATGGCAGAAGGTACAATTTAAGAAACTTGCTTATGTATTTATAAGCTGAGGAAATAGGGACTCATGAGAAGCAGTGTTTGCCAACTTACAGCAACATTTGGGGGAAAGGCAGAGTGATGGCTGCTCGTTTCAGTGCTAAAAACCCTCAATCACTGGGGGATCTAGGTAAGCCTCCTTCAAGGACCTTCAGAGCTGGCAGCCTCTTGGAGTTATGCTCCAAGTCTTGCTTCCAGTCCCAGAACCCCCACTCTACCTCAGGGTTTCCCCACTTAAGAGACAGCATGTATAGCATCCTCCGTGACACACTCTGGGCTCTGGGGCAGTCCACAGACTTGGTCACCAGGCACCTCCCAGCCTATCTTGTTCTCAGGATGTTTCTGTAGTTGAGGGTCCCACCTGGAGGTAATGAAGAGAGCACTGTGCTGCCGGGGTCTCCCAGACCAAACCACCGAGGGGTTAACTACCTGCTCACCACAAAACCGTGCCCACCACAGCCACAAAAGCACTGAGAGTTTCTTCTGAAAACAACCAATCGGTCCATAAAAGTAGGTACGTGTCGAGCAAGCACCTGACTTCTTCCATCTTGAGGGAAAAAACGTATTCCTTTCTCCAAAAACTGACCATTATGTAGGGTTTCTATGGAGAGAATTACACTTCTAGGAAATGGGGGTGGGTGGGAGGGGAATGTGGCATCCTATGGTTTAATCATCAAGTAATAAAAACAATCTCACCCACTTTGTGACTTCTAAAAGATGCTTATCGCACAGTACACTTTTCTAAATTTGGAAAGTGCCTGCCAAATGAAGTTTCACAAGCAGCAAAGAACTCAAAATAAAGACAAGAGTTAAATATTACGTAAGGTTTTCTTTTATTTAAAAGATCATTCACAAAATACCATATCCATAGATTTACTTTCTGTCATATAGCTGAATGTGTTAAGTGTTTGGAATTCCATTCTTACATTTAAAAGTCAACTGGATTGCCCAGAAGTTTAGATGAATTTGTTTTGTTCTTAATCTTTCCCACATTGAAGATGTAAGTAGGTCATCTGAAAGTATCAGGTTTGATTACAACCACATAATGCATGTCTTTCTTAAGTTAAGTATTGGCGTTATACAAATGGTTCTTATTTCAGAAGCAGAGATGACAGGTGGAAGGAAGGAAAGGAGGGAGAGTTCTGTGAATCGCCGAGGCCTTGTAACAAAGACAAAGGAAGAGAAGCCAGGGAGCCGGCGCATTACCTGCGACCTGAGCACACGCCGGCCGGCGCGGGGGGCTAGCGCAGCCCTCCCGTCACGCTGGGGAGGGCTTCTCTCCTCAGGGCTCAAGCAGCTCGCTGGCCCCAAGCACTCCCAATGGGGCAGACTGGGACTTGGATGCTGAAGAATTTTTAATTTGTTCACACACGTATTCAAGCTCAAAAGCTAATGCCCAGACGCCTAGCCCCAGGTAGAGCTGAACACAACACAGAATAAAATATCCCTAAGTTGAGATCCAGTAACTTACTGCATAGTAAAAAATTCAGTTCATCAAGGAAAAGAAGAAAAAGCCAAATCCTAGGCTCATTTTCACCGTAAAATTGAGGGATGGTGGGAAGCTTAGTATCTCATGTTACTTACACCAGGGAAGAAACACAGAGGGGCTGCAGGACACACACAACAGGGATCTGCGAAAAGCGACGTGTGCACCACACACCCAGCACAGCCCTCCCACCAGCACCCTCGGTCCCCGCAGCACCCTGCCCAGCAGAAGCAGCCCGGCTGGAGGCTCGCTATGCCGGGCAGCCAGACGTCGGCACCGCGATGCAGCGGTGCCAGACAATGTTCAAGGGGCAGCGATGAAACCTGTGAACATCATGACACACTCAATTTCCTTCTAGGTGAACCCCCCAACATTTCACATTATTCGCATCAGTTTGGCCTACTCTGCTTCAACAATCCATTCGGGAAGGAGGCAATGGAGACAGGACTACCTAGAGATAGCAAGGAATTTGCAAGGGTCAACAGATTATTTCACCCTTATTCTGAAAACAAAGTGCCTTGAATTCTGTATGTTGACTACAGCCGATAAAATCAAGACACTATTCCGAGTTGTGACTTTTCTGTTCTCCAGGAAGCCACAGCAATACAGAACTCGACATGCAGGTCAGGAGAAGCACTGAGAAAACCAAAGGAAGCAACTGGGATCTGGCCAGTGTGCCTGAAGTAAAAGGACAAAGCAAAGGAGAAAAGATGAGGCCACACCTCAATCCAAACAACTCCATGTGGTGGCTGCCTGTCCCTCTAAAGAAACTGATGTGCTGGAAGGAAGCGAGGAGAAAAGACAGGAGGAGGATAATGGCAAAGGAGTGGCAGAAAAAAAAAGAAAAAGCACAAAACAGGCACTAGCTAGATACAGCAAAGCCAAGGATGTACTAAAAACCACTTGTTAACTGCTGACATGCACTCACAAGCTGTGTTTCCCTTGTAAGAAAGGAGGGCAAAGGTCAGGCGCAGGAATGGTAACCGCAGGGCTGCCAGTCCGGGGCTGGCCAGCTGTGCTCTTGCTCAGGCTCCCCCACACCCATTCCCTCCCACCCGAAAGCTCATTCTTGCTCCTTGTGAAAGACTTCCTCTCTGGGTCTGGCTCCCCCGAAGATAGCAGAGTTGGGGTTGGCTACTTGATTGAGGGGTGTTGCAACTGTTCGAGGTTTAAGCTGGAGCCGTGGTCTCTGTGCTCTTTCCTCTGGAGGAATTAAAAAACAAAACAGAACATGGTTTATCAAGAATGGATCCCATTTCCCAGCTGGGCAAAATCAGACGTATGCTGATCTCTAGAACCAGCCCATTTCCTAAAAGTGAACAGCCTTAAAGAACTTCCAGTCTATCACCAGATAGTCCAGTACAGACCAACTTCCTACGAGGTATTTGAGACTAAGGGGTAGCCTGTGGCAATAATCATGACAAGGCCCATCCCCTCAGGAGCTGTTCATACCTTCTGTTGGTTCTCTGAAATCCATGTTGGACCCTCGAAGGGGAGGACCATCTCTGAAACGACTCCCCATTGGGGGACCTGTTCGCCGGTCACCTGGGCGACTTCCTCCCCTGCCTCCTAAGAAGTCATCCCTGAAACCTGAAGGAGGAAAGTGACAGTGAATTACTTTTAAAAGTACATAATCAAAACTGATTATGTAGCTTTTGTGAGTTGTTCGAGTTTATTTTTAAAATAAAACGAGCTGTTTAAAAGGTCTTAGTTTGTAGGAAAAAATGCCATGTTAGGCCATATTCTAATAGGTTTAAGGCAACAAAAGTCCTCACAGCACGTTTTACTGCACTCTCTATATAAGTCTATATGGTTATTAGAAAGAAAAACCTGAAATTTAGAAGTCATAATTTAGAATGCAAAATCACAGGAAAAGCTAGATATTAAGACAAAATAAAAATACAAAGTCACCTCTGGGTGACACACCCCATTTTCCTGTTTCTGCTGCATTTCAGGGTAGTGATCATTCTAAAAGCAAAGCACCTGTGTGGTAAACAAAGCAGTTATCCAATTCAGGCCCATGTTGCTTAGGAGTAGGGGGACTTGCTGGAGACAGAGAACTCAAGCCCACTTATACTTCCTCTGGTTGCAAGGGGGTCCATCCTATCCCAATTCATTTGTGCAATTTCCAAGAGAAGTAAACTGCATCCTGCTTAGAAATGTTAAGCTGCAATGTTCATCAGTACATAGAAGAAAATTTTCTCAATGAACCTTTAAAAAATTAGGCTGTAGTTTTGCATTTAAGTGAAGATCTTCAATTTGGTGATTTAAGCTAATTAATTTTAAACAGTAAAGCGCTAATAACTTTTAACAAAAATATAAACAATCAAGATGATCTTGCCCCTGTGGTTTACAGCCCTAAAAGTGATATTCTAATCCTGCTAAGGTAGGTGCCACTGCTCAAACTGTACTTTGATAAGACTGAGCCCTAAGGTATATGCTTTTTTAATTCAGCAGATTCCCATTAGATTTTGCATTTGCAAATTCATCTACTCACTAAAATCTGTAACCACAGAATCAACACTAGTGACATGCTGCTGTCACACAGTCATGCGCATAGGGCAAGATGTCAGTCACCTGACAGGCATGTTCCCAGCTGAGGAGGAACAAGGAGCATTCTGCCTATACATGGGTTTTCCCTACTGTCTACACAGTGCCAGATTTATGCTCTTTGTGATTTTACTGCTCAAAATGCTACCTGAACGGTGCTGAAGAGCTGCCTTCTACTATTCTTACGTTTAAGGCAGTCTTAAGGCAAGAACAGAAACTAGATAGGCTTTGCTCATGCACACGTTATAGTACTGTTACACATATGTGTAAAGTGCCTTTAAACAGAAACACACATGAGATTTATGTACTGAGATGTTAACAAAAATGTTGTGACCAGACACAGGAACCCTAACCTTGTTACTTCTTTTAGGAGCAACCTGGTGTTTGCTATTACGGTGTCTGAGGCAGAGATGCTAACAACATCAGGTGCTGAGACGAAACTATTTCCAATGGTGGTATCTTCTGTTCATTGCCTTAGAAAACAGATCAGGTTCTTTGAAACTACTTCAGAGAATGAGTTGAACATCATCAATTTTAAGAAAACAAGTGCTACTATTTTACTTGGGGAAAAATACACTTGGATACAAGTGGTGAAGTCTAAGCATACAAAATTTATTAAATAAGTTTAATTAGAAAATCACTGATTTTCCCCTAATCTAAACTGAAGTGTAGCTTGCCAAAGAACTAAAGTTACTCTCCTTTAATAGGAGATTAAGTTAATTTTTTGCGACTGGTGTCTAGGATAGAATAGATCAGTACACATTCAAATTGACAAGATAAAGACAACTGCTACTTTGTTCAGCTGCATGAATCAAAGTAAAGGGGAAAAGCCAGTGTATGTTAACCTCAGGTGACAGCCTCATTTCAAATCTCTTATGAGATGAACAATGGGAAGCTTACTCACAGAAAAGCAAGATCTGACATTGAATAATTATCTTTTAATAAAAGTCAACTGATTTCTGGGAGACACACTTGTTCTGAATTTCTTTACAAAATTTAGTCTCATACAATGGCTATTTCTGTTGATGGTAATTTTTTATTTGTTTTGCTTTCCTCATGTTTTCTGGGTATAGCTCTCCCTCTCAAAAAAGAAAAAAAAAAAAAAAAAAAACCACCATGTCGTATTTTTAAATACAGTATTCTTCTGAAGAATAAAAAAGACTTTCACAAAAGCTGTATACCACTCTAGAGTAGCTGTATACTACTCTACCACTTGGGCAC